TCTGTTTTTTACATCTCTATGTTCTTAAAGATGTTCTCAATTTTGTAAAATTCAGGGTGTAAAAAGAGTAAAACTCCTGGGTAGTTAAAAAAATTTTGGTCTACAAATGTAACAAATGTGCTTTTATATAGCTGTAGCTTTCAAATGAACTGAGCCGCTGTGTGCATTTATGACACCCATCAATGTGTTAACTGCATATATTTCTCTGTTCATTGTGGTTTAAAACCTCCAGAGCTCTGCTGCTGCTGTCCACCACATTCTCATCAGTCACTTCCTCTTCAGTTGACTACAAAAAAAAGAAGTGCATTTTTTTCTCAACATTTATAAAAATGTTCACACGCTGCTCTTCTTCCGCTTTTGTAGACTTTTTCGCCCGTCACTGTAATAATGTCCTAAAATGAGCCTGAACGAAAAGACCTCACAATGTGAAAATGTATATTTTTCAAAGCTGCTTTTTTCTAAAATGTGGATCTTTTTATTAAAAGTAGTAGTTGTTGGTTTAGTCGTTCATCCTTAGTGTTGCTGCTTTCAACAGCTAATGTCGATCCTCGGGGTCCAAGACCAATAATAAAGCTGCACTATTTTTTAACTTTATTTAAAAAAATAGAGAAAACCCAATATGGTGGTGAATGGCTTTATATTATATTTTGATGAAATTATGCCATAAATTATAGCAGTATTAAATATTTAAAATATAATATTTAATCTTAGATGCTTCCAGCATATTCTTTACAGTTCCCTATTCTTGATAGATCTTAAAGGAGGTTCTCCTCCATTCAGAGGAGTCAGCTGAGAGGACTCAGATATCTGTTTGGATTCATCTTGGACGCCTCAATCCATGCAGGCCCCACTAGACAGGGGCTCATGGGAGGCGTCTGAGAAGAGGGAACTCTAGGCGTTTCTGCTTAGACTGATACCCTTGCAAAACCCAGTCCTGGATAAAGTGGAAGGCAATTAATAAAAGTTTAGGCATAGCCGTAATGAGCACTCGAGTTGAGGAGGGGACGAGGGTGGATGGCATCCCCCTTCTTAAAAAAAATCTTTAAAATCATCCCCCTTCTTAAATGATTATCCGCCCATACCTTGAACTGTGACATTTTATTAATGAATGTATAAAATTTCTACTTTATTTTCACAATAATGGCAATAACATTTCCCTTTCAACACTTGGCGGCCTGTGGGCTTACGAGTAACCTGAGTAAAGTAAATAAAAACAAAGAAATGGCCCACCATGACTATGAAGCTGATCCCAGTGGTAAATTTGTCCTCTGTATTAGTCCCTAACTATGTAGGGGCAGTGATAGCCATGACAGTGCAGGGACTGACTGCAGTTCTACTGTAAGGTGTATTGGTCACGGTCCGGCATACCTGACATGTAACAACCATACCATGCATAGTGCTTTAGGTTAATAGACTATATTGATAAGGCTATGTATTATGTTTTCTTTTTTTTTTTTTTTTTTTTTACAACTAGACTACTGGCAATAATGGACATGGGATAAGATGGGACATGAACTGAAGTTCATCCCCTGATGCTG